TTGATCCAATTGCGAAATAAATCGTCATGGACATGTATCCTAACATGTATAATCTTGAATGACAACTGGCAAAGCATGTCCAAAATTCAACATTTTCAAAAAAACAAGATGGAATCGCTAAACCAGTGCATGTGTCCCACATAAAGTACTAGGCACAACAGAATCAGTCCAAGGGATTCTGAGATACGACTCCGGACGGACGCACAGACCGAATTATTAGTCCTGTTTTCAGACTTCGTTCGAACGGGGGACAAATTACACTTGTATTTAAACCTACTTTTCTCAGATCTTTTTATACCTCCTACATGTTGAACATTTTCTTTTGCCACTATCAATTAAAGTTCCTGAAAATTATATTTCCAAATAAAATCGGGTTTAATCTGTCCTAGAAAAGTCAATTGCTCATCATTATTTTTATACCTGTAAATCCACCATCATCCCCTTGAAATAAGCACAACATAACGTGCATATTAAAAATGATTATTTGATTTTATTAAAATTGGTAAAAACATTAGAAATACAATTATTGCGCAAATCAGAATGTACAACTAAATGTACACAATTAAAATATTCTTTACACGAATCAATTAAAATCAAAATTACATTAAAATAAATTACAATAACATAGTTTAAAATATGCAAACGTCGCATTGCAAATAGTACTGATTGTTGCCCTTAGAGAATGACAGGCAGTCAATGTAGTTTTATTTCTTGCTTGGCAACCCTGCTTGTAAAATTGATGACATTAGGACTTTATCTTGTAGTGCAAATTCCACCTCCTTTTCTTCCAACTTTAATGATATCTATAAAAACATGGAAATGGGGAAATAATTCAGTGAGAAGTGATATGTAAAGTATAGCATGAATCTAACGTCTAGTGAAATTGCCATTCAGTATTCCATGTGACATTAAAAATTTATGAAGTCAGCTTTTAAAAATAAACATACATGATTGTATTACATGTAGTCTAATATTTCACATAACATAATACTGATACGTACTTTGGTCATGATACTGTCCTTGCCTTTCTTCAAACCAATGATTCCCCTGGATTCTATCAAGGAGCAAAGTGATAGGAACTCTGACCGATCAACTGAACCAACTTGTCGACTCTGACACACTTTGCAATATGATTCATGAAGCTGTGAAGAAACAAAAAAATTGAATAATTTTTCACGTAATCCTAAAGATGGATAAAAATACAATGAAAACCTTGGGGCATATATGAAAACATTGCAGAAATTCAATCATTGTTGCTTAGAGACAAAGTATTTTATTACCTTTCCAAGTGTGATTTCTTTGACTTTTCCCTGTTTTACCATTAATAGTAACGTACAGATGATTAACTTCTGTTGTACTGGAAATGTTTGTTGTTGTTTATTTGAGGAGACCATTTTTGATCCGTAAACATCCGATATAACGCTTGATATGTGTAATAAGCCAACTTTCTTTGGGATTCCAGGTTTGGGACTGGTTTTCCTCTGGCTCTGAGTCACAGACGCTGTGAGAATTGCAGAAATGAAGTTATTTGTGGAAATATTAGGCGTTCAATACACGTTACTGAGTTGCATATCACACCATGCCATGTGACACCCAGAGAATAGGAGTTTAACAAGGATCACTTTAAATTTTGAATTTACTTTAGAAATGCATTTTTAACACTTAACAAGGTACTTTGTGCAGAAAAATGTCACATCTTAACCTTTTCTCCACCAGTTCTCTATTCATCACAAATTTACAAAATAGTCCAGTTTATATTTTGCACCGTCTTTCTGAAGATTGGGACAAAAATAGCTAACCTTTTTGTGTAAAAACTAAAAATTGTGACTGTTGGCTCGAAAATTAGGGTTCATTTCCAGAAATATTGAAGAATGCAAGCAAAGAGTACAGAAAAATTTGGGCAAGAAAGTCTGGTGGTGAAAAGGTTAGATCATTGGTAACAATCAAATCTTAGACACGACAATGAAATCATACCTTGACTTGATGGTTGCAATATAAACTGACTTCTCACATCACTCTCGACCACTTCCACTGCTCTCCTGTGAAAATACAATATTATGATTCAACAAGTCATTGTCAATGACACGTCCCCGTTCCGTTCATATTTGAGTGACATGTACATTCAAAGCAGATCATGACCGAAATGCACCTGTATATGTACAACACATTGTACTAAATCTGTCCTATTATGTTTAATGTATGTACCAAATTTGAACAAAATCCGTCCATGCATAACTGAGATCCAGGTCCGGAATGGTTAAAATGTGCGATTTCAATGCATTTTCGGCCTTAAAGCGGCCACCATTTGGCTATCGTTAATGAGATCATGCATCAAGGTCCTATTATGTTTAATGTATGTACCAAATTTGAACAAAATCCGTCCATGCATAACTGAGATCCAGGTCCGAAA